TACCAGGAGGTAAATTATTCCACAGGCGAGGAGCCACCGCCGAGAAGGCCCTATTTCTTGTTTTCTCTTTTCGGGCCTCCCTCGGCGTTAAGCTCCTCAGCCTCACCTCCTGGCTCACCCGTGTGACCCGGGTAGAACTTGGTGGGAGTAGGCGTTCCGCCAGGTATCGAGGCCCTAAACCGTTTACGTCTTATGTCTTAACTTTTAAATCATATATGGTTTTATTTATCTTTTAATATTTAACTTATTGTGTTTTTAAATTGTGTGAATTTTAATGTTGTGAGCCGCTTTCGGTCCCTTGTTGGGAGAAATGCAGCATATAAATAAAACTAATAATAACAACAACTAATAATAAAACCTAGTCAGAACATCCAGTGACAGGGGAATTATAACGGGAGAAGGGGATATTGTAACCATTTGCCTCTTGTTGGAATTTGCAGATGACAAAACGTCTAGAAGATCTCAAGATCCCCACCTCTATTCTGATTCTATTCACATGCTGAACTTTTCATCTCTCATTTGTTGTTTCATAGGCTTCTGGGGACAACGAGGCTTCAACTGCGTCATGTAAGAACACAGCATAGGAAGGGTTTGGCTGGATCAATCTAAGGTCTATCAAGTCCAACGTTCTGTTCCTATGGTGGGCAGCCAAATGAAAATGAGACACCCAGAAGTACATAAGTGCAATAACGTCCTCCAGGATTAGAAGAGAGAGGCCCCCTGTCATGGCTGCATCAAAGTGAGCAACATACAGCCTGTTGGCAGCAAGCATGTCCAAGCAGCCCACATAAGACCTCCTAACATCTCTGCAACCCGCAGCATCTGTGCACACACCACCAAAGTGTGGGGGGGGCGGGGTCCAAAAGCTCTTTGTGACCTCAGGGTGTGGTTTTAACATGTGCTCCCAAACATCTCCATTTTTAAAGATAATTTGATCCATAGATGGCATGGGGGTGGGAGAGAATTTCAATTAAAATACATTTTTATAAGAAAGAAAATTTGGAGTGAGGGTCTAGATTTGGAGTGGGTGTTGCCTCCAAGTTCCAAGGTTGGGAGTTTGTAGCCTCTAGGCTTTTGGAAATCACTTCCCCAAGCTACATGTTCATAGCCATTAAATAACCTTATTCACTATGAATTTGCATAACCCTCATTTGAAAGTCATCCAGGTTGGTAGCCATTATCACATCTTGAGTTCCATAGTTGAATTATGCATTGTGTGTGAATAGGAACTGTTTATCCTGTTTAAATTTCCCTCCATTCAGTCAGTGGATGATGGGCCATAACTTATATTACAAGTAGGAAAAACTCTCTACCCACAACAGCCAGCCTTTTGCACACCTCTATTATATCTCCTTTACCTGCCTTTTTCCTGATTCCCAATAAAAAAATACTAAATACAGTAACCCTCCCTTGCATGGTAAGCATTCAGCTTTTTCATGTCTCTTGATTCTTCTTTAGCATTTCTTTAACCTCCTTGCATTTCAGTGGCCCACTGCCTCCCCAGCTAGGCTTCTGCATCTCACCCTTTGGCCAAAATCCAGCTGCTTAGCACAGTCAATCAGGTCCATTGAATCAACTGGTAATCAGCTCTTCCATAAGTTCCATTCATTCAAATGGACCCACGTTAACTGCAGGTTACTTGAGCATACTAAGTCACAGTTTAAAAAGGCCCATTTGAATCAATGAACATATAGAACAGTTGACTCACCAAATCCCCAAAGATCTAATGGGTCTATTCTAGTGCAATTTACTGCACTAAGTCACAGGATCTTGGCCACTGAAATAAACTTTTTCTGGTTGGTCCCAATATTTTAACAATCTTTTCCTCAAAATCCTTTATTGTTTTCTTGTATTTCTTTTTTATAAATTTGTTCAAAAAGGTTTTTTTTCCCTTACTCTGATAGCTTTCTTGACCCTGTTCATTGCTTGACACATCTTGGACCTTATCCTAACATTCCTTACCTACACAAAATTACATCAAGCAGAGTCTATTATTGTGGCTGGAGTAATCCCAAAGTAATTTAGAATGATTTGCCCCCTAAGTTTCCCTTTCAGCTTTTATTTTTAAGCCAACACAACCTTGTCAGATATACAGTACCTGTAAGTTCCACATTCATTTTATCGAACAGTCATTCAAAACAGAATAACTAACTAGCCTAACCTAGCCTATGGGGACTCCAGCTCAGAAAGCTATTAAAAATATGTCATGGAACAGAGGAGGCCACCTTGTAGTCAAGACCAAAAGACTTGCTTATATCAACTGGGAGTGGCTTCCCAGTTTTCAAACAGGGACCGCAGTCGGTGAGGTGATGCCTGGCATTAAACCCAGAACCTTCAGCATATGGTGCATATCTTCTGCCACTAAACTATAGCACTTTCCCATTTCTTTCCTCTGTTGGAAACTACTACCTAAATTTGTCACGCTCCCCTAATTGCAGCATCATGCAGTTGTACCATTAATATTAACTGATGCCAGAATATTGAGAATACGTGAGAACAAGTTATTCTTAACAGAGCTGGAAAGGTTTTTGTTCTTTACAGATATCCTGTTCTTTCTATTGCCCTGCGTAAGGCTGATGATGTCATCTGCCATGGTGATTTATTTTTAAAATCCCACTTGGAAGATCTGGAGGCTGCTGTGGAATCCTTTTCATCATAAGGAACCTATTGGGAGCCAAAAATTGCAGTCATTGGGATGACTTTATCAGCAGCTGCTATTTTTGGAAATTAGACTTCCCTCAATCCTGTAAACTGCCCCGCATGGTCTCTACTATGAAAGGAATTCTACAGGAATCTCAGGACATGGGGGGCGGGGTGGGTGAGACCCAGAAATGTTTTATTTTTGTTAAAAAAAATCACCCTGACTGATGACCTTAAATGGCATAACTGCATAAACCAGCCTATTTTTCCCATGATACTATCTTGTTTTTTAAAAAAGAAACCTTATAACTGAAAACTATATTATAATGTGTGAACAAAATCTTTGTACTTCTTGCTGATAATTGACAAAAACAACCTTCTTTAAAAGAAAGCATGTTTAAACAATTCTTTACCTGTCTCAACAGTTTTTCTATAGCTGACATTACCATGAGTCCTCTCCAGACAATGGGCGCAGCCTCTTCCACCAAGAAACCCATAGACATGCTAGAAAAGAAAAACATTTTTTCCAGCTTTCAAACATGACATAAGGAGCAAAATCAACAAAATAAATATGTAAAATATATAATAAATGCTAATGCAGATAGCTTACCATGCAATTCCATAGTTCATAAGAGGTCTCATTAAGTTTCCTAAAATGAAAGACGTTTGAATACACAGTTTTAGAAATGATTAATTTAAACTGTCATACACGAAAATCTTTAGAAATAACAAAATAACAACTATCTAGAAGAGCTGCACATATCCTTTTCATCTTTTATGACTTCACATCAAAGCAGAGCTCCAATACAGATATAATTCTTAATCCAAGTTCCAAGTTCAAGTTTATTGTATTAGCTAAAAGCCGTCACAATTGTTTAAAATACAAATCTGATCAAATAAAATCATGATAAAATCACGGTCATATAAAATAATAAAAGACACTTCATATCTGGGAGTCCCCTGCACAATTGATTTAATTCTTAATCAAAATTAGTAATAATTAGTTTGTTGCTGTAATCTTTCTTAAACTTCCTAATATACAGTAAAACTTAAGGTTTAGCTGCCCATACTACACCTTGGCCTCAGACCATCTCTGAAGGGAAGCATGAACAATACCTGAGAATGGGTCAGAAGGACAAGACAACACATTAAAAATGACTTGCCTCTGGCAATTTTAATTAAATTAAGGATTGTGGAGGCTAGATTGGCCCTCTCCCTTTTATCCTTCCAGTGACAGGTGAAGACAATATTGTTTAGACAAACATTTAACTAACTCAGCAGTTTTTGATCCTGTGTGTTGAATACTATATTCATATGTATTTTAATGTGTTAGGGAATTTCTAACACGTTTAATAAATTGTTTAATAGTGTTGCATGTTTAATTGCTTTTTAGCATTATAATTTATTGCTATTTAAGTTTATAGATTTTTTAACAACTTGTGAGCAGTCTTGGGTACCCTAATTGGGAGAAAGGTGGCATTCAAATTAAAATAAATAAAAATAAATTTAATTATACTCATCTTTCATTCTGACATGGAGTTTCCAGTGACCTTTCCTGCAAAATTATGCACAGGCACACAACGTAGTTGGAACAGCATGGACTTTTTAATTTAATTTTATTTTATTTATATCCCGCCTATCTGGTCGTGTCAGGACCACTCTTTCCAACCATTCATAGAATTTTGCATAAAGTATCTGTAATACTTAATGTACAGTCATGTGGAAAAGAAAATGCACCCTCTTAGAATTCTACAGTTTTACGTATCAAAACATAATAAAAATTATCTGGGCCTTAGCAGGTCTCATAATTAGGTAAATAGAACCTCAGATGAACAACAACACATGGCATATTATACTTTGTCGTAATTTATTTAACAAAAATAAAGCCAAAATGGAGAAGCCATGTGCAAAAAAGTCAAAGAGAGTGTACATTCTTTTTCACATAACTGTAACTTATCATAAACCAAATTCAAACCATGGCTTGTTACCACTCATTCACAAGGGATTAAGTGCTTATTTAAATGTATTTATTTAAAATATTTTTACCCTGCTTTTTTCCTGAAAGGATCCACAGTGATATTCAGCCACAGTCTTTACACATCATTGTATTTAGCAACCACGCTATTCCATAGTTTATTTTGGTTAATTTGGTGTTAATCTACAATCCCTTGTTTAATCAATGAAACATTAACCATGGCTAGGCACTAATATGCAAACTCTTTATCGTTCTTAAGTTGCTATTATTTTTCCTTAAGAAATCTTACCATAAGAGGCACTCATGGCCTTTGTTAAGGTGCCAAAGAATCCACAACAGACATATCAAAATGAACCATGGACATTTTAACTGAAACTCAAACCACTGTCTTCTTGCATGTGTTAAGAGTCCCACAGATATTAGTAGTGTCTAATAAATACTAATACAGTGGTGCCTCGCTTAACAGGTGCTCTGTTTAGCGACAAAATCACTTAGCGATGACTTTTTCGGAGCGTTTTTGCACTTCGTTTGGCGATGGTCCCTATGGGCGATTTTCGCTTAGCGATGGTTGGGACCATGCTTCACATAGCAATTAAATTTTGGGTCCCTGGTTTCGCTTAATGATGGTTTAAACAGCATCATGTCTGCTGTTTTTTAAATGTTTTCCTGTTATTTATAAAGTTAAAGTTTACTGATTAAAATGTTTGAAATCATAAAGTGCACTTAATAAACCCTTTCTTAACCAAATTTAATTTGTTGTTGTATTCCCCCCCCCATTGAGATGCATGGAATAGGTTTCAATGCATTTCAATTGGCGAATTGTGTTTCGCTTAGCGATGTTTCCTATGGCGCTTTTCGCTTAAGGACGGCAATTTGTTCCTATTGGAATGGATTATCCGGTTTTCAATGCATTTCAATGGAAAATCGTCTTTCGCTTAGCGATGAAATCGCTTAGCAGCGATTTTTTCAGAACAAATTAACATCGCTAAGCGAGGCCCCACTGTATATATAATAATTGTAATATTAGAACTACAGAGCTGGAAGGGACCCTATCAATCATCGAGGTTCAGCTGCTGTGCTAATCAAACTCCCAACCTCTGGCTCTGCAGCCAGAAACCTAAACCATTGAGCTATTCATGCAGAAACGTGGACCATTGTTTCCAACCTCTTGCAGCTTTCTTGTGATCAGCATGAATGATAATGTACACATTTCAATTTAAGTGTGACTCTTGAATATATGGGCAACTTTGTCTAATCTTGGCCTTTTGCATTCTGTATATTAATTTTGATTTAATGCCATTAGAGGTACTCAAGTAAAGAGGCTGTGACCAAGGCATAAAGCCTAGTTACACAAATGAAACAGGATGTCATGGAAATGCCTGCCATTCACACAGTCTTTTATCAAGTGTCATATATTAAGGAATGTATAAAGGAGAGAAAAATGACAGATAGCTAGAGCTCTGCATCCACAAATGGAGAAACAAGCCACTGTCCAATTCAGAAAGTGGCTTGCCTTTTCATGAAGAGAAATTATGACATCACACACAATGATAAAAGCTTTCCTTATTCATTCGGTTCTTTCCTGTGACTGTAGATCCCACCTTAGATTGGAAACTCAAATTTAAAACCAGTCTAACATAAAACGCTCTAACACAGGGGTTTTAAACTCAATTTACCTGGGGGCTGCTAGAGGCAGAGTCTGGGTGAGGCTGGGCCGCATCAGATTTTCCGCCAAGCACAGCAAGAGCCCGAGGAAGCCGCCCAGGAGTTTCCTTAGCCGACAGACAGGTGGGCTGGCTGGCAGGCTGCAGTTCTGGATGGAGGGTGCAAGAGGTGCTGTCTTGGGAGAGAGCCGGCGAGCGAGGCAAGGCTTTTTTTAAACTTTTGACAGCAGAGGATGTGTGGGCGCTTTGGGGGGGCAGGCAAGGCGAGGGCCACAAACTATCATCTGGGGGGCCGCAAATGGTCCCCGGGCTGCATGTTTGAGACCCCTGCTCTAACAGCTTTAAAAATCTGCTTTCAGTGGCTGATGGCATTCTTTGTACTGCATGATGACAACTATTAATTTCTCTACTCCAAAAGTATATTTTAGCACATAGATACTGAGTGGTTCCTCCTCCATATGTGCTTAAAAATAAGACTGCAGTAGACAAGCATTTATTGTAAACCTTACACAGAAGCTTAGGAATCCATTGCATCATGAACACTGTTTTTTGTAGAGCTGCATTGTTAGTTAATATTTTTCACCACTCAACCCATTATCATCCACCCCCTCAGTTTCTCAGGATGTCTCATCAAGAAAAGCATAAAAGGCAGCCATGACAAATGAGATCACTTGCCATAATATCATTCAAAATGAGAAGTGCAGCAAAGAGTCTGAATTCTTACTATATGACAGCTGCACCAACTATATGGCATATGAAATTAGGCAACATATTGTAGGTAGCAGCAGATTAAAAGCAGAACTGAAACCTAGGCATTATTATTTCATGAACACGATAATTAAATCTAGTCTCCACAGAAGAATAAAAGATTTTTTTCACCACCCACAACTCAAAACAATTGGGATTTCCTTTCACATAAAACTGTTTATTTTTAATCACAGAGAATAAATGGTTTCATTTATTTCAAATATCCATATTTTCTAGCACCTTTCCCAAACAAGTAAAAGTTCATCTCTGTTTTTAGAGATATGTTGACTCTATAATAAAGTTAAGCAGATATATTTTATTACTACAAATTCATGAGTGAACATGTGAATATAAAGTGCCAGTCATCAATCATTTAGCTTCTATTGGAACCTAAATGCCTCTATTGATAGTAAAGCCTATTAAATACATTTACTATTCAACAGTCTTACCGTATTTGCTGGTGTATCAGATGATTTTTTTGGCCCAAAAAACATGTCTCCAAGTGGGGGGTTGTCTTATACGCTGGGTGCACTTCAGTTGGGCCAGGAAGGAGCCGCCGCCACTGCCACTGCCGTTGAGTGAGTCACATAGGGCCGCGCTGGCCGGGGAGGCAGAAGGTGAACAAACAGCCCGCCGGGACTACATGAACCAACAGGCCCTCTTGTCACATCCGAGGGGGCCAAGAGAGCTTCCCCTCCTCCTCCACTGCCATTGCCCGACCGGCCACTCGGCCTTGGGCCTCATCGCCGGCAGAGCCAGCTGCCCCCTCGCCTGCCCGCCGCCGGAGAGCTTCCCTTCCTCCTCCTCCTCCTCCGCTGCTGCTTCCCCTCCTCCTCGGGCCTCGTTGCTAGCTAAGCCAGCTGCCCACTTGCCCACCTGCCACCAGAGAGCTTCCCTTCCTCCTCCTCCTCCTCGTCCTCTGCTGCCGTCGCCCACCCGGCCGCTTCCCCTCTTCCTCGCCGTCCTCGGGCCTCGCCACCGGTGCCGCAGCAGAGCCATCCACTCTATATTTTGAGTGGAAATGTTGGGGGGCAGTCGTTTTATACGCCCAGTCGTCTTGTACGCCGGCAAATACGGTAATTTTCTTTTAAAACTGATATGGTTAGTTTAATGCACAATAGATGGAGAAAAACCTTGGAAACCATGGAAGGGAAAATGAACCTTCATAAGTGAATGGCAGTGTTTGCAAAAACACAGGAATACTCCTATGGATATAAAGCAACCACTGTGAAAACATGTAAAATGTATACCATCTGCCAAAATC